TCATTTCAGAAAAGTAGAGGCCACTAGCTTTGGACATTCAGTCCTTGGCTAACAGCCTTGTAAGGTTGGATATTTCAGAGCCCAGCTGAGTTCTTGCATGCGTTATTGCCCAGTCTTCACTATTGGAGAAAATCAAGGCTCGACAGTTTGATGATCCGCATTTGATGGTTCTCAGAGAGACGGTACTACAGGGTAGTGCCAAGGAGGTTTCTATCAGCGATGATGGTGTTCTATGACTCAAGGGTCATCTATGTGTTCCTAATGTCGATGGTTTGAGGGAGAGGATTCTAGAGGAGGCACAGAGTTTATGAGCATCAGAGGCCAGGTGGCCTACTCCGGCAGATGACTATACCGAAATGAAAATGGGAGCGCATTAATATTGACTTCGTAGTTGGGTTGGCGCGGACCTTGCGAAAGCTTGATTCAGTTTGGGTCATTGTCGACAGGTTGACCAAGTCGGCCCACTTTATTCCGGTTGTGATTACATATACTTCAGAGAGGTTGGCCCAGATTTATATTCAGGAGATAGTTCGGTTGCATGGTGTGCCTGTTTCCATCATATCAGATAGAGGCCCCCAGTTTACTTCACATTTTTGGAGAGCAGTACAAGGCAAGTTGGGGACCCGTGTAGAGCTCAGCACAGTATTTCATCCACAGACCGACGGGCAGTCAGAGTGGACAGTTCAGATCTTAGAGGACATGCTCAGAGCATGTGTGATTGTATTTGGAGGGCAGTGGGATCAATTCTTACCTTTGGCAGAGTTTGCTTACAACAATAGTTATCAGTCCAGCATCGAGATGGCTCCATTTGAGGCTTTATATAGTCGGTGATGTCGTTCTCCCATTGGGTGGTTTGAGCTTGGCGAGGCCAAGTTATATGGTACTGATTTGGTGAAGAATGCCTTGGAAAAGGTAAAGTTGATTCAGGAGTGACTTCCATAGCACAATCCAGATAGAAGAGTTACGCAGATTAGAAGACGCATGATTTATCATTTATGGTGGGCGAGAAGGTTCTATTGAAAGTCTCGCCAATAAAGGAGATCATGAGGTTCGGGAAGAAGGGCAAGTTGAGCCCAAGGTTTATAGGCCCATTTGAGGTATTAATATGAGTTGGAGAGGTTGCTTATGAGCTTGCTTTACCTCCCAGTCTATGGGATTTCATCCAGTTCTCCACGTGTCTATGCTTCGGAGGTATCATGTCGACTTGTCACATGTGTTAGACTTCAGCATGATTCAGTTAGATGAGAGCATGGGTTATGAGGAGGAGCCAGTTGCCATTATTAATGGGCAGGTTCACCAGTTGAGATCCAAGAGGATTTTCGCAATAAAGGTTCAGTGGAAGGGCCAACCAATCGAGGAGGCGACCTGGGAGTCCGAAAGGACAAGCGGAGAAGATATCCGCACTTATTCAACACTCCATGTATGATTCTAAACCCGTTCGAGGATGAACGTTTGTTTAAGAGGTGGAGAATATAACGACCCGATCGGTCATTTTTGCTTTCTAGAACCTCGTTCCTCTAAATAAGACTCCTCGTACGTGCTTTTACTGTTTTATGACTTGCAGGGATGGTTAGTTCGGTATTTGGAAGGGCTTGGGTTGAAATCGGAACACTTGGTTCCTTAAGGTTGGCTTAAAATATTAAGTTTGATTTCGGCCAATATTTTGAGTAAACGACCTCGAAATTGGGATTTGATGGTTTAATAGGTTCGTACGATGATTTCAGACTTAGGCGTATGCTCAAATCGGATTTTGGATGACCCGGAAGCGTTTCGGCGCCTAATAGCAAAATTGGCATTTTGGGTGAATTTCATAAGTTTGGATTTAAGTGGATTTTTTGCATTATAGACGTCCGTTTAGGATTCGGAGCCTGGGAATAGCTCCGTATGGTGATTATGGACTTAGGAGCATGTCCGGAAGTGGATTTGGAGGTCCCTAGGCCGTTTCGAGGTCATTTGGCGAAAGTTTGAAATTTAAAGTTTTTGGAAAGTTTGACCGAGGGTGGACTTTTTGATATCGAATTCGTATTCTAGTTTCGAAAATTGGAGTAGCTCCGTAATGTGATTTAAAACTTGCACGCAAAATTTGGCATCATTCCGAGTTGATTTGATAGGAATCGGACGTGCGGAAGTATTTTAAAAGTTTTTGCATTCATGAGTTAATCCATGCGTCTTGGCATCCGATTCGTGGTTTTTGATGTTATTTCAGTGTTTCGACCGTGCGAGCGAGTCCGTATGATATTTTTAGACTGGTGTAGATATTTGGTGTGGAGCCCAGAGGGCTCGGGTGAGTTTCGAACATGATTGGAAGGTTGAGAAAACTTCGATTTTATGGTGTTTCTTTGCTGGTGTTGCAGGTATCGCAAATGCGAGAATTTGTTTCCATTTGCAAGGAAGGCTTCGCAATTGCGAAGAAGCTTGAGCTGGAAAGTGTTCGCATTTGTGACTCTTTGGTCGCATCTGTGACCTTGATAGTGTTCGCATTTGCAACTCTTTGGTCGCATTTACGACTTCTGCAGTGAGAGCCCAGGTTCGCATTTGCGAACCAGGTGTTGCGAATGCGACATCTGCGACCTGTGCACAACTTTATTAAGTGCGGGACTTAGGCTTTAGCTCATTTTCTTTCATCTCTTGGGCAATTTTTTGGAGCTCTTGAAAGAGGATTTTCACCTAGCACTTTGAGGTAAGTAATTTCTACACAACATAAGTTAAATGTATAGATTATGGGTAGATTAACATATAAAATTTGGTGAAATTAAGGGTTAGATGAAAAATCTAGGTTTTGGATTAAAATGGGACTTGACCTCGAAAATGGTTATGGAATTTGGTGAAAATCATATATTTGACTTCATGAGGTTATGGGTAACAATTTCCTTCGAAAATTTCCGGAATTCGGGCACGTGGACCCGGGGTGAATTTTGGGAGTTGTTCAATTGGGGTTGGGTAATCACTTTAATAATTAGGATATGAACTTTTGAGCATATATAAATTGACTATTTTATATAATATTTGACTAGTTTCGAGTCGTTTGGCACCAAATTAAGGGTCTGAGCGCAATCTTGGATGAGAAAGTAGGCTTTGAGACAAGGTAAGTCTTTTTTCTAACCTTGTAAGAGGGAATTAACCCCATAGATAAATTTGACTAATATGTGCTCCTATTTGTGGGGGCTACATATGCACAAGGTGACGAGAGTCCGTACGTAGCTACTAATTATGTTATTGTCCGGGTGGTCTAGGACCCATATCATGCTATACTTGCAAATGTTCGTACTTTACCGGTTAACTTAATTGCTTAAGTCACATGAAATTTGATAAAAGAAACGTAAAAGGTTAAATTTCACTTATTTGAAGTTGTGAATGTGACACTACTGTTGTTGAGAATTTGTGTTTCTTTAAAGTATTTTCTTTTGTGAAGTGGGCCAAACGGCTCGGTAGCAGATAGATGCATCTATGGTTCGTGCCGTTAGACCCCCTGTAGCGTACAGTTTAAATATTTTTATGTTGGATCGAGCCGTACGACCTCGGCATAATTGTGTATATTGAATCTTTGGAACTAATTATAAATGATATTGCTTCATTGACTTGATATATAAATTGTTAAATGATGGAAATAAACTTGAAATTTATTATTAGTGAGAGGATAAGTTATTGTTTCCTGTTATGGAGTTTTCAACTATATTTATGTAATCCATGTTTAGTTATAATTCTTGACATTTTATTATTATCCCATAGTAAGTGTCAAAGTCGACCCATCATCACTACTTCTTCGAGGTTAGACGAATACTTATTGGGTACATGTTGTTTATGTACTCACGCTATACTTCTACACTTAACGTGCAGGATCTGAGGCAAGTGCATCTGGATATCAGTCCGACGTGCACACTTGATCACTCCTACGAGACTACACGGTGAGCTGCCTTTCGAGCCCGTCCTGCAGCAGCTGGAGTCTTCCTTTTGCATATTTTTCTATCTATTTCATTTCAGACAGTAGAATGGTAATCTTTTATATATTCTATTAGTAGCCCATATACTTGTGACACCAGGTCTTGACATACACTAGTAGACTTGTGGTTTTAGTTTATTTCTATGGCTATGATTGCACTCAGCTGCTTTCGTTTCAATTATCTTAAATCTGTTATTCATTAAATCTTTTAGATTAAGGAAAGTTATTTACTTAGAAAACCTATTAAAAAGGGAAATCAAAAGATTGTTCATTGTTGGCTTGCCTAGCAACGGTACTAGGCGCCATCACGGTCTATAATAGAATTGGGTCGTGACAACATGGTATCAGAGCACTAGGTTCACATAGGTCTCACAAGTTATGGGCAAGCCTAATGGAGTCAAGCGGATTGGTGCGGAGACGTCCGTACTTATCTTTGAGAGGTTATAGGGTGTTAGGAAACTACTCTTTGTTCATCTCTTATCATGCAGTTGATGGTGTACTAAGTTTCTTCTCTTATTCTCTCACAGATGGTGAGAACGCACACAGGGGACGTTCCAGACCTGGGAGGGGATACTTCCCCTATTGCTAGAGGCAGAGGCAGAGGCCGGGGGAGGGCACCTGCCCGTAGGGGACGTGGACGTCCTAGAGTTGCCCCAGTTGTACAATCAACGGATCCAGTAGAGGATCTTATTATTGAGGAGCAGGGCGAGGTGCCTGCAGCAGAGCCAGCCCCAGTCGATTTCATGTCAGCACCAGGCTTTTAGGAGATTATGGGTCGTATGCTACAGTTCATGAATTCCATGACCCAGGCTGGTTGATTTCCACCGGACCCATCCACATCTCAGGCGGGAGGGGTGCACAGACCGTTATTGCTCAAGCTCCTAGCATGCAGATGCTGTAATATGGACAATTATTATTATTATTATTATTGTTATTATTATTGCTGTTGTTGTTGTTGTTATTATTATTTTTATTATTCACATTTACATATTCATAAACCAAAAAAAAAAAAAACCGACCACAGGATATCCAAATAACAAACAGCAAAAGAAAAAAAAACAATCCCCAGTCGGTCAATTCACGACTCCTCCGATGTTACGCGTGAACGATGCGGTTCAAGCGACATACAAAAAGAGCACACAGCTGCTGCTCCTGCTCCTGCTCCTGCTCCACTGCCTACCGTTCACCTCCGCTCCTACTCCAGTCCTAAACCCCAATTGAATGAAACAGAGAACATGGCCGTCCAAATCGGACGGTCAACCTCGTTTCACCGCTTTCCCTTTCGCCAAAAAACAGACTCGTCCCACCAAAAATCGCTCCATTTTTCATTTCCAAGTCAGTCCAAGTTCATCATCATCGTCCAAGCCTAATCAATACCATCACGACTTTTCTCAACTTCCATACGATGTTCTCTTGAAAATTGCGGCCAATTTTACGCTGCCGAACTTACGTGCATCTTCACTAGTGTGCAAATCTTGGTGTGATGCACTTCGACCTTTAAGAGAAGCTATGCTTTTTCTGAGATGGGGCAAGAGATTTAAGCATGGCCGTGGAGGGGTTAAACCCAACTTAACTAAAGCGCTTGATTCTTTCCTTAAAGGCGCCGCGCGTGGGTCCACACTAGCTATGGTCGATGCTGGCTTGGTTTATTGGGAGATGGGGAGAAGAGAAGAAGGGATTGCTTTGTATAGAAAGGCTGCTGAACTTGGTGACCCTGCTGCTCAATGCAATTTGGGGATTTCCCTCTTACAAGGTATTGAGATTGTTGCATTACTTTATTGAGATTGGGTGAATATTGCTTGTTTATTATTGTAGTTGTTAGTAGTTAAGTGGGATTTGAACTTCATGGGTTAGTGAGTTCGAAATACTACCACCGCCCATTTGATTTATTGCGTTTGAAATCTATTATTTATACTTATTTAGTGGATCTTTTAACACAAACATAGTCGAGGACAAAGTTACTGGATTTGGATGAACCCATGACTTGTATGCTGTGTCTTCCCCAGGTTAAGTGGAAGAACTAGCTTGCAATGTTGATAGTATCATATTTTCTGGATTCTTCATCTATGATCACTGAGTTATTTACATTCAATTTAAGTCTAGGTCCTAGGAATTCTGAAGCATTGAGAATAATGTAAGCTTGTGGTTCAGAAGGTGAAAGTGTGTTAGCAAACTTTTATATTATGCTTAATTGATATTTGTATCAAACTAAGCTGAATAAATGAATGTTAGCAACTTTAATCGCGTGAGCTAATTACTAAAATGTGTTTGATACAGGAATTGAAAGGTTTAGTCAAAATATTAATTTTCATTGATGTTATTATTCTTTTTGTTCTTCTTGTTGGCGGTATTGTAAATAAATTGTTTTCTAGAACCTTGTTGCCTCGCGTTCAATTGTTGACATGGCTCCTACCAAAATTGATAAAAATTTATACATTGGGACTTTCCAAAACATAAATGTTACCATGGCTCCAAAAAAAAAAGAGATATACATAGTCAACATGGCTCCAGTGAAGTCACTGATCTCAGTTGTTAACTTGCTCCTACGTTGTACATGTGAGCGTTATTAAAGAGCGTCACGCAGAAAATTTGCCTTTGATATGCACTTTGTAGAGTTTTAGGTTAAGCTTTCTGACTGAAAATGGTTAAAGTTTCATTTTCCATTGACAACATTTACCTTTAATTTTCATTAGTGCGTAACTAGTTTACTATTTCATTGTGTTTTTGATCTCTTCTTAGTTCTTACTCTATGTAGATAATCCTTCGGATCATGAGGAAGCTGTTAAATGGCTGTTTAAAGCCTCCGTTGCTGGCCATGTTCGAGCTCAATACCAACTAGCACTTTCTTTACATAAAGGTCATGGCCTGAATAGTAATCTCCAGGAACCGGTATGAGATTTTACCTGCTTTAAGTTATTTACTTTATATTTAAAAAAAGCTTTCACAGGATTACTGGAATTTCCCATGTCAATTGTAAATTATATCTCCTTGTTGTTTTATAAATTACAACATGCAATAGGAGATTTTGCAACCTCTATCTAAGAAGAAAATTATTTTAGATTAATCTGCTTAAACACCTATAAAAAAAATCACGATTAACATCTATTTTAACAAATTCCTCTTGTACCTACCTAGTTTCTAAAAGGCGTTGAAGGAGGATTTCGATTAACAGAAGTAGTAGTAGAAGATGATAAGTTCGATAGTGTTTTGTTCATCTTAACAAGTGTCTTTGGACAGAACAGGACGTATAGTCCTTAAATATTCAATTACATACATAGAAAGAAGTGGGGAAAAGGTCCTTGAGTCCATTTTTTTGTTTTTTTGAACTGGACAGGCCTATTATGAAGAATATTGAGGGATACTTCTCATGGTAGGACTGGAAAAGATACTTATGTCAAAAACATATACTGCTAGGCATTTGAATGGTGCTTTAGTTTTCTTGTAGGTATGCAGAGAACATATGCCTGCTGCTCCATTTTCAGTTGAATTAATATATTTCAAAATTTAGGTCCAGATGCTCTAGTTTCTGAAGTTGATGGACCTGTTGTTTGTAACAGAATTCATTATTTTAAAATTGTGAAGAGGCAAGTATATTTCAAGATTTAGTATAAGATAATTTTAGAGTTGTTGCTTGTTAGAATAATTAACTAGTATTAGTACCCACGCAGATGCGAGGACACTAATCATGCCAAATATTTAAGTTATTTGGATTGTATTTAAATAATCTTAAAATTTACACTTTCTCAGTAAATATAGATAATCATTGGATATTAACTACATGGAAAAAATTAACTATTTCTTCTATTTTTCTTTTTTGATACCATTCTTGCCAGTGTCATTGGATCCTAAAAATAGTCAGGAAGCAAAATAATAACTCATATTTATGGCAAAATAATCAAATGTTGAGACAATGAATGATTCTTTGGATAAGACTTAACTCTTTTACCACTACTTGAGCTCTTATTTGGCTATCTAAAAATATAAAAAATTCTTTAGCTAGTGAATTTTTTTTTACTCCATTTTGATATTTGACATTAATCATGTTAAATATATGAGTTATTTGAATTATATGTAAATAACCTTAATATTTTAACCATCTAAATAATTATAGATAATCGTCAGATATTAATTAAGAAACACTACATGAAAAAAGACTAACATTTTCTCAATTCTCGTAGTGATAATTTTATTTTTTCACTATTCTCATAGGTGTCATTGGAACCTAAAAATAGCCACAAAGTGAAATAATAACTCATATTTATGGCAAAGCACAAAGGTTGACACGATATAAACGATTCTTTGATTACGACGTGACTCTTATACTGCTACTTGCACTCTTATTTGATATGATTTTATCTTTCAAACAATATTTCTATTTTGAAATTTCAATTTCTAAAATTTTATATATATTATAATAATGATTATCTTTATAATGATGCAAGTGAAGATATTATCCTTAATTTAAAATTCACTTTAATCGGCTATTTAAAAATTTAAATGATTCTTTGGCCGAATTTATTTCAGTATGACTCCACTTTAAATTTATCGATATCTCTAGCCCTAGAAATTGAATTTTCAATACCCTATATATACAAAAAAAATTATTCTTTGAATCATTAAATGTTAAATTAGTTGATTATTATTATTATAAAACATTGCATATATTGTCTTAAAATTGTCAAGTTGTTTATTTTTCGACTCCATACTTGGCTTAACCTCAATGCAAACTACTCAAATTGCATTCCAATTCAAATTCAAATATCATATCAGTTTGTTAGTAATAGTGATATTTTAAAAACGACACATAATGTAAATTAAAAAAAATATTCTAAGATATCCTTATCTTATCATCTATGTATTTGAGTTGAAAAAAAATACTTGAAATCGATGAGATTAACTTTTAAAATTTTTATACTCAACAAAGATGAAACATAAGAAGAAATTTGTTGTCATCTTTTATTTCTCGTTTTTAGATTTGTCTAACATTTTTTTCAATATTTATTTTCTTTTATCTTATTTTTCATGTCATTATTTCTTTTGTTACAAAAAATTAATTTATTTCACTTAAAAAGGATGAGTTTTAATAAATTTTTTCTACATATGAACTTTAATTATATTTTTAGTCTTTGGTTGAAATTATTTCATATTTCTTTTGGCTTTATCTAATCAGCCTAAATAGGTGCTCATCCGGCCACTTAAATTAAAAAATTGAATGATGTGTAATTTATATATAATACATATATAATATGTGTATAATCGTATGTTGTCGGTATATCATCTATTTATATTAGCTATAAAAAGTAAACAATAAATATGGTCGGATATTATGTAAATAATCTATTATGTATATATAGATTATTGGAGAAGTGATTGCTGATCCTATCCAGACTTGAAGAATTCGCAAAAGTTTTATCTTCAAATGAAAGGGGGTGGTTTGAATTTGGATAGGGATGTTAAATTCAAAAGTTAAGTGCACCATTATGGCACGTAAGTTTTCAACTCTCTGTATAAATTGCAGATATAGGTCTTGAGAATTGTATGGTGCATACAATCTTGTTCTTTTTTCAGCTTCCTGTATACATTACAGATGTAGTTCTAATGAGACCTTCACTTAAAGGATTCTATCATTGCATAGGCGAAGTGGTATTTGAGGGCAGCAGAAGGTGGATATGTCCGTGCTATGTATAACACTGCATTATGCTACTCGGTTGGAGAAGGTTTAATGCAGTCTCACAAATTAGCAAGGAAATGGATGAAGAGAGCAGCTGATCGAGGTCATAGCAAAGCCCAGCTTGAGCATGGGCTTAGTCTGTTTTCTGTAAGTAGTGCCTAAATATTCCTCCTCCCCTTCTCTCTTGCAACAATATCCATATCTAAGTTTAAAGAAGCATATAATTCCATGCATCTGTGTGGTGCATACAAAAAAAGG